AACTCTGGTCTGTTCACTGAAACACACACATCAGTCTCCCACCACAACAACACGCAGCACAGCATTAGTCTGGTTTGATAGAATCATCAGAACAAACAGAACTCCTCACTGAGGAAACACTACAGACACGTCCAGTCCTCCACGTCCTAGACTGTAATGTCACACAATCTGAACCGCTGACTGTATTTTTTTTCTGTCACTTCTTAGAAAACACAACGAATAACCCTTCACACTTAACAAATTTGATTCTCATTCCTACTCAACAAAGCGCTGCATATCTTCAGCACACATTTTGGGCATGTGGAGGTCACATCGTGGCTGGAGAGTGAACTGTATGTTTGAGAGTATTTTTATTTAATGACATGCTGCTGGTCCTCTTTGGTCTACACAGACACTGAAGTGATCCTGCTGTCGTATTTCTGACAGGAATATTTAACGTTCAGGTTTACTGGTAGTTTAACAGCACCAGTAGCCGCCTGTAGCTCGTCATGTAAAGCCTATAAAACACTAATATTCTGGCTTTTTGATGGAAATTCCAGTCCATTGTCTGCGTGTGTTCGCGATTAACATCGTTTGAAATTACAGGTCAGGACGTGGAGGACCGAACGTGTTTGTAGTGTTTTCTCAGTGAGTTGTTGTGACAACGTGGCCTCAGTTTGTTCTGATGATTCTATCAAACCAGACTAATGCTGTGCTGCGTGTGTTTCGGTGAACAAACCTGAGTTAAGCGTGAAGTTCTGCTCCGTATCTCTGGATGTTAAGTTGTGACCGTCGCCAGTTGATCTGGGCGTGTTTCCTGAGTAATCACCAGGTGTTAAACATCTGGCTAAATGGAAACGATCTCTGTGAATGAAATGGGTCAGAAATGAACAGGTACTGTAATTGAGTTGATTGGTGGCACAGTGCTTAAAGCACCGACACCGTGTTTTTGCATCTGAACGACGTGGTTTCGAATCCTCCCACCGGACTTTTAAAATACATGTTTGTTTATTTTGGTCAGTATGTTTGGTTTTGCTGTTTGTAGATAATATTGGCATGGATGTAGACGTTATTAACGTTTACTTTTGTTGCCGAGGTCTTCTTTATGTCTTTATATCCTTATCTTCACACACACACACAGGTCTGATTGTGACGACTTTGCAAACGGATCATCTGGAGGGTAAATACATCGTCAGTTAACCTGGAACACTTTTCTATCCTGTGAAACATTTCATTTTTGTGAATTTAAATAAGCCAGTGTAGCGCAATGTGATCTAAATCTGCCAACATCACATCAATGTATTGGTGTTATACTAAACACTTGGCATTCTGTTACCACACGGTTTAGTAGCCTTCATGTCAGAATAACGTGCACACTGGGTTGGTCTCCTGTCTCTGTTGCTTTCCTACGAACATGTTTTAATAGTGATCAATGAGCGACCACAGCTCCAGCGGGTCCGACTGCGCTCACCTAGTTTCTTTCATCGAGCCCGACAGCGGCCTGACTTTTAGAATTAGAAGGCTCTTGTTTCCAGATATATTTGTCAAGACCGAAAAGAAAAATACAGCACATATCTCATTTTACGTGACTAACTTGTCAGATTGTTTATTTCCTGGTTAGTCGGTAAGGGGTCCTGAAAAGCCACGCCTACGAAACATCTGTCTCAGAAACGCTAGGATCGCCAGTTGATCTG